TAGTTTAAACGGCCATTTACCGCTAATTACTTGCCGTGGCATCAGCGTTCAAAGCCTGCGCTTTTAGCAACACGGGCCTGGCAGAAGAGGCGGTGACCGTGCAAGTCAGACTTGGCTACTAAGTGAAAATCATTCCTCCCTTTATTTGGTTAAAAAAAGAATATTTAAAATGAAGAATTGTATTACCTACCCAATAAAGTAATTGTGCCATTAGGACCAAATGACTTAGGCAACTTGTGAAAATGTTAAGTTCAGGGCAAATGCTACATTCTTACTTTAAGCAATGATCATTTTCTTCAGCTTCAGAAAAACCTCGAAGCGTCCTCAGGTCTTTTAAATGACAAAGGCTCTACAGCTGTAGGTCACGTCCACAGGCGGTTCGTTGCTGCAGTCAGCCACTGGGGATTTGAGATTCACCAAGTCCAGTTTTTTAACGTTACTCTTTTCAGCTTTTTCAGCAACGTTTCTGTATCTCGATGTCGGAAAAGTTAATGAAAAGCATTGCATCAAGAAAGCGATTTACAGTTTCTTTTCATCGATGTGTATTGCCTGTGTAGGGCCAGAAGAGCAACGAACCACAGTGCTCGGGTACAAGCAGGAAATGGGAATAAAAGTGCTGCTAAATAACTTTAAAAAGCCAAAAGACGTGGACCACTGATAGGCTAAATTATGGGCTTGGCTGTTTTGCTCCCTGAGAACCACCGAGGCCACGGGAGCTCGTTAGAAGCCGTGACCCGCTGGGATGCTCAACGCCAAGCCCGTTGGGCTGGCAAGCTCCGTGTGGCAGAGGACCCGAGGAGCGACATGGGGTGTGCGATCCGGGGCATGGGGAAATCCACCGCAACGTCTGGAGCCTGAGCAAACGAACTGGAGGAGGTTTCTGAGCAGATTCTGTTCTCTGCATGGTACTAAGCGGCCGGACAAGTGACTAATGCGGTCGCTTGCAGGGCGGCCGTGCAGGAGGATGCGGGATGGCGGCAGAAGTCAGAGCTGCCCGAGAGGAAGGGTTAAGCTCCAGCCGTCCACACAGACCTGCTCAATGCCAGGGACCTCACCAGGTAGAAATAAGACCCTTTTGAAGCTGCAGCTAAGCCGTCGTGGTTTCTGTGATGTGTGCGAGCAGCACTCCCTGTTTGGGTTTCTTTCCCAAACAGATGGATGCTGCGGCATGAAATCGCCGAGATTAAAGGCAGCAGCGCTTTAACGCAGACGTCTGGGGAACCGGCCGGGCCACTCAAGGACGGGGATCCAAAGCCTTGGCAGAGGCCCCGCTCAGCGCTTGCTGAAGGGAAACAGCCCGATAGCGAAGCGACCGCGCTGCCCTCGCGGCACAGCCACAGGTCCCAGGGAACAGCCGGACCCAGGGCGGGATGAGCGAGCCGCACGTGGCCATAAATAAATCATGAGCCCTCCGACACGCGGCCGGCGAGCTCTCAGAAAAGCTGTGGCTGGCAGCACTTTCACCGAGTGACGTCCACATCTGGATTCCTAAGAGGCGATTAAAGTTCAATCACACTTTTATGGGTTTAGCTCCGGGAAGGAGAAGTGGCCGTAACTGATGGTGCTCTGTGCTCGCCCCAGCTCCTGCGGCGGCCGCGCTGTGCCCCGGCAGGCTGCGCTTCGCCATGGTGCTTGGCACGGTGCCCCTCAGCACGCGACGTTGTTGAAAATCACTGCCGCTGAGCAGCAGCCGCAGGACTGCGTTTGGAGACCGCAGCGCCAATCCCCGCTCAAAGCCCTCGAGGAGGAGCGCCGACTCGGGCGACGCAACACATCGAACTGGGAATTACGGGGAGCCTCTCCCCGTCGCAACATACAGCAAGGGATACTGGGGGCGTCTCATGATGAGACAAGTGGGGAATCAATCAGGTTGTGGTATTCACGGCGTACTCAGCGCTGCGATAGCGGTGTCGCCTGGAGAAGAGATGTGGACTGTCCGTACCCCGCACAGCCGGGAGATGCTCCGCGCGCCCCGCGGTGACATGCGGTGGGGACCAGCCTTTTCTCGCAATGCGGCTCAGAATCCCAGAGGTCCCAGGCAGATTCAAGGACGCGAGGTTGACACCTCAGCCGCTTCACCGCTCCACCCAGCGAGAACGCCGGGGCAGCCCCAGCCCAGAGCCTGCACGCCTGCCGCCTGCGAGGGACCCCGCCTGGCACACCGTGCCGCCCCCGCGGCCCCGGCTGGTGTGGCTGCCGGGCAAAACACATCACATGCCATTGCTGAGCGTGGCTGAACCACAATCTAAGCAATTACTCTGAGCTGTGCCGCGTGGGAGTGCCACCACCTGAATTACCATGGCCATAAAAGGCTCGGGGCAAGGGGAACGGGGACGCGGCGGGGAAGGAATCCCACTGCGCATCCGACGCCGTAACCTTGCTGTCGACACCGCAAGCGTGTGACACAATCAGCTCTGGCTCCAAGCGGAAAAAAGCATCGTGAGCCAGCACCGGGGACCTGTGGTTGAAAATCTCTTGCAAATTGAAAGAATCAAAAAATAGCCACACCTTAACAACAAAAGAACGTACGCCCATACCCCTTCTGGGTCAGAATAGCTGCTTGCGCGGGTTTGCCCTGCAGCTTCTTCCTCAGTGTTGTGATGCCGAAGAAAAACGTTGCTTCTCAAGCACCTCTAATAAAAGCACCAAGTGCTGGAGAGCGCTGAACACCGTCCCCAGCGCCACCAGCTGCAGCGCTGGGCACGTGCGCCCGGACACGTACGGCTCCTCGCGCTCTGGCACAGTCTGTTTACACACGGGCACTACGGCTGCGTCTGTCTCGGTAGTTCCTCCTCAGCAGAAGGCAATTGTTGTTCTCCTCTCCTTTGTCCAAAACATAAAAGATCGATACTTGGAATTTCAGCGCTGCAGCTGCCTCATAACCCAATTTCAGGAGATGCGGCGAAGGGAAATGCTGGAGGAGGGACGAGCACCGGGTCCGTCGATAGCTGTGCTGAGGGCGAGCAGCGGCGAAACGGATTCTTCCCAGCAGCCCTTTTGGCGGGGGTTCGGTGTTCGGAGGCGACCAGGCGTTGTCCCTCACGGTTCTGAAATCCTCAGCGTTTTACAGGGAGATGCAAGAAGATCTGACAACAGCCAGGACGGACGCGGAGGCAGGAATGGGGCGAAGGGGGTCACATATCCCAACATTCACCTACCACTATAGGATGTACATACTTGTCTGCGGATAAAAGCTTGTGCCCCCACAGCAGCTCGGGAAGGCTGAAATAGCAGCTACAGATGGATTTTCTCCCTAAGCAGACACCAAGGCGGGATAAACAGCACGGGAAGGTGTGATCGGAGCATGGCCAACTTACGGCCGGACTTCCAGCTGCCCGCGGCAAGGTCCGGCCGGGAGATGCATTCGCCCGAGACGCTCTCCCTCGGGGCAGACGAGATGCAAGGCTTCAGCATCGGGATACGCGGGGGCACGGGACGCGGCGCCGGCATTTCCCTCCTCCGGGCACCGCGCCGGTGGGACAGCCCAGGGAGAGGAGCGCTGCCACCGCCGCCTCCCTCGGGGCACGGCATAAAGAGTGCAAAGTGAGATGTAGTTTTGTAACATTAATTTTTTTTTATTAAGAAGACAGATATTTTATAGTACTTCTTTTCCTTTGTAAAAATGGTATACATGAACCGATACAAAATGTGAATGGGAACAGATGGATATGTATTTTCTTACATTGTCACATCTTCCATGGACACCTTAAAACAGAACTGGCCTAAGGGGAAAAAATAAAAAGGCCGGGTGAATAAAGAACAAGGTTGTTTAGCATCGGTTCCGCCCTCCTTCATTTGTAATACTCCTTTAAACAAGGTTGTTCTTTCTTCACGCTTCAAAATCCTAATGATCTAAAGCTGTACAAAGTAATACTCAACAATACATTTCAAACAGTGCACTGTATACTGAAGAAAAAATACATAAACCGATATACAACTAAAATTCGTAATTTCCTGTTTTTTTCTCCTGTTTTTTTTTTGTTGTGTTTTTTTAATATATTTATTTTTTCCAATGTGTGGGGCCGAAATTTTGCAATCTACCTGAGACGGAAAACACCAATCAAAACACATGAACCTGAGACATGTCAACATTGTAAGTCAAAGTTACATCGGTAACACTGCACTACTGTACACTTCCAAAACAAAGATGGGCTGCTCAAAACCAGGATGCCAATCCCGCGACCGATGATGGGTAAAAAAGCCCCCCGAACTCCACCATGCTGACTGCTCCTCACCATGACGTGGTGTGGCAAATGGTGCTGAAGGCTCAGAAAAGAGCTGCGCTCGACAAAATTCGCTCGGAAAAACAGGGTATTTCGGCGAGGTTCTTCTCGTGAAAAGGGGAAAGACGGAATAGTGCCGGAGAACGGACACGCTCTCTGCCGTCAGGCCATCCCGCTCCCAAAGGACTCCCGCATTGTAATGGTTCTGCCAAAAACAACACTTGAAAAAAAACCCACGCACAAAAACGCTCCCCCCGAAACCCCTAAAAAACCCCCAACCTGACGCTAAGATTAATGTTTCCCTTAAATAAATCAGCATACATCTTCCACAGAAGCACAGTAAAAATAAAGTATCGCTCGAAATCCAAGATTACTCACCAAAAAGAAATTCAGCATATATACCTTTAATACCGTCTTCTCCTTGTAGTCCGCTACCTGTCGCTTAGGATCCTAATTTCCCTAGATTCTCCTTTTCACCTATGGCTTTGTAAGTCAGTTAGCACTGTGGTCGTAACGCGAATTCCCACGTGTTACTCAGCGGGTAGAAAGAAGGCAGTGTGGCGAGGCCGGCTGCTCGCCCGGGCGCGCTGGGGACGGGGGGACGCGGGTCCCCCACCGCGTCCGGCGGCCGC